ATATATATTATTTATTTATGTATATATATATATATATATATATCATATGTATATATGTATATATATATATATATATATATATATGCATAATATACATATTATATATATTATTATTTTGTTATTTATAAATATAAATATATATATATATATATATATAGAAATATATATTTATATATGTATATATATATATATATATATATATATATATATATGTATATTTGTATATGTATATATATTTATGTATATGTATATGTGTATATAGACATATATATTGCTCTCCTGCCTGTATATGAGGAAATTGACAGAATTTTTAATTTATTCCAATTGTTCGGGGCTGAACAACGGATTTGTCTGTACATACATATGTAAGTATACACATACATTACATCTCCTTGAATATTGATATATATACAACATAAATACTTAGCACCATATGGATTCCGAGAGGGTGCGAGGAAAGTAAGGATAGGGAGGCTGAGGTGTGGTGAAGACAACAAGTATCCGTTATCGTCCCTACTACTAGACTTATTAGAGTTTGCCGCACAGCACCTGGTTGTAGGAGGAAGACTGGTGTATTGGCTACCCATGATGCGTGAAGAGTATGTGATTTTCACTGTTCTATAATATATATATATACATATATATATATATATATATGTGTGTGTGTGTGTGTTTGCTGTGTGTTGGTGTGTGTGTACACTTTGGATAGACATCAATTGAAACGGCTTGATGTATCAAAGTTTGCCGCACAATGCCTGTCGGTGGGAGTATGACTGGAGTATATCCTGGCCACGGTGAACGAAGAAAACGTTGGGTTCGGTATATATGTATGCATGTCTAAATCAAGACCTGCGCTATGTGGCATGTTCACACCCCAGACGTGGTGATCGGTTGAAGTATATATTAACCTATCCATTGATGCTATTCAGGTTTTCAGTAGAAAGGATACCGCTGCACCCCTCAATGCGACTAGTAGCGCATGCGTCCGATAGTATGAAGTTGGGCGCCGCAAGATATCTGATCACAATGCACAAAATCGCTCCATATACAGTAAGTACACTTTGACATATCTGATACAAGTAAGTTCCGATGGATTAAAATTCTTTGTAAAGGACATCGTATGGTTATATTTTGTGTTATAAAGTGTTTAGATATTTGTCGATCACCGCCCAATGGTATGTCTCAAATTGGAACGTCATGCACAAATTCGCACTTTACACGGCTAGTCACACTCTGTGGTACGATGGTTTTGTCGCGTCCATATAGGACTTATAAAAATTTATTATTTTATCGAAGCTGGGTTCTTCTAACGATGTGTATATGATTACCATGCACAGCACGAAGCTACAAGTGGTTGCCCGCACCTAACCTCACGTATACATTCATACGCCAAGAGGTTTTCAATCATCACCGATGAATACGTATATGACACATGCACATTGTTTTAAGCTTCTCCATTAGAATCTTCTAGCAGGGAGTCACAGATCACTAAAAAATGCATCTGTGAAACTTACGTTTGTTCAACGCTTTTCCTTCACACAGACTATCAATGAATACATTTTAGAAATTTACATGTTGCTTGCATCTTCTTCCCCACGACAATCTGCCATGTCTCGTTTATTTGCAGCCCGGCCAATTGGAGCCCACAGAAGAGCAGGAGAAAGTGTTCAATAACTACAGAGAAAAGATGTTCAAGGAAGGCGAATGGGCTGATGAAGACAAACCCGCGCCGAAGCCGAGAAGAAAAGGCGATGCACGGAAAGAGACGTAGCTAATAAAAAAATACTAAGTGATACATAGGAAGCATAAAGCCACACCCGTTGATTCCTTTGATGCGTAAAGAAACTGATTAGTGTAGGCAATCATTACATTAGACGAGATTTTGAAAAGTATTGCTGTTTGATAGGAGTATTTGCGTTGCATTTCACAGGAGGGCACGAAGGTTGGCCTCAACCTTAAGGAATGTTTGAGTTTCTTCACTTTGATCTGCTGGGTTATACCACTACGATGACGTCTACTTGTTGGCACATGGAAAAAATAAAACGGTGAAGTATATATTACTGAACATTCAACAATTTGGTACTTTATAAAACACTGCTTTACAAACTCTGTTCATGCCAAGCAGTACCCCTCCCCGTAAAAATTACTAGCTTAGGCCATGCTATGCCGATCACAGTACACTTTGTATACGATGTGAATGGGACGAAGCAAAAAGTCTAGCTGAGCACCATAATAGTTGCATAAAAGTAGCGATCGAACATTGAATACTACCTTCCGGACCGAACTGTTGGATCTGTATGTGACTTTTGGCGCATACATACAGGAAAATGGTCTTACTTCGCATAGCAAAATAATTTATTTGAAAAGTTCTACTATGTATTTTACTTCTGACAGAATGGAGAATCATTAAGATCAGTACAGTACTTGTGACACTCGGTCTCAGGGTTCTCAAACTGACACTCTTCAGCATTCGCTTCGCTTGCACACCAGTAGCTGGGTCCCTGCGTACAAAAGTCGGTACCTACCAGTGGTGCATCGCAGTAAGGCGAATCCTCCAGATCGCCACAGTACTTTTGACACTCTATGTCAGGGTTCTCAAGCTGACACTCTTCGGCCTTCGCATCGGTTGCACACCAGTAGCTGGGTCCCTGTGTGCACGAGTCAGACCCTATTGGTGCCGAACAGAAAGGGGAGTCTACCAGATCGTCACAGTACTTTTGACATTCAGTTTCGGGATTTTCCAGCTTACACTCCTCGGCATTATCTGCACTGGCACACCAGTAGTTAGGTCCCCAAGTACATGGATCAGATCCATCCATTGGTGGACAGAAGGGAGAATCGTCCAGGTCGGCGCAATATTTCTGGCACTCCGACTCGGGATTATTAAAACCACACTCACTTGCGTTCTCTTCACTGGTACACCAGTAGCTGGGTCCCCAAGTACATGGATCTGCCCCAATGAGTGGAGACTCTTCCGGCTGTAGTTCAAGGATGTCGTCGGTACAATATGGACTGTTGTTAATATCCTCGCAATACTTCAAGCAATTCGCTTCAGGATTTTCAAAGTTACATTCAGCTGCATTTGCTTCCGATGCGCACCAATATGAAGGGCCCTGAGTGCAAACATTACTTCCAGGTAAACTAGCGGCCAAGGCCGTCGTCATGATTGACACTGCGGATACGATATAGACAACTTTGCTATTCATGTTGGTGGTTATAGTGTTTGCTTTGTTTGATTCTCGATAATGCTGATACAATGCGTGGTTGGACAAGGTTTTATAGTACGGAGTTGTTGAATACATCAGATTGATAGTTGTCGGCTGTCGCAATTATACAGAACGCATACTCTTGATATTTACTGATTGTGTGTTTGTGTTCGACATTTCTGGAAAAAAATCGATACATAAAATTCAGCTGTCTAATTTAGAAGGCTATGCGGAAATCGGAATCGACCTTGATTTTAGATTTTGTACGTACCTGTACAGCACAGAACAATGAGTACATATATATTTTACTTTAGAAAAATATCCACTGATCACTGCAAAGTTCAAACTTGAAACTTCAATGTTCAAGGACTACATAGTATATGACTATGTATATGTCTGACTAATTGACTATATGCATGCGAATTGGCGACTTGCCATTGGGATCTTCGTAAATATTTCTAGTAAATTTACACTCGCACTCTACTCTCTCTCTATTTATAGAGAGAGAGAGTAGTACATAGAGCTCTAGAGACTATAGAGAAAGAGTAAAAAATAGACAGAAGCCAGGAGCCTGAAGGTATCTACACAAGGAGTACTCCATTGGAAATTTGAAAAGTAGAAACGTTAAATAAATTTATAGGAAATACACCGTCCTAAGCTCATTACGTAGTGGGGCTACGGAATAGAAGTTGAACGTAAACGTATATTTTTCCTATTTTTTAAAATGTTACAACAGTTATAATGTATCAGAAGGGCCTTAGGCCTGCTTAAGTTCTTTTTACAGGACTGGTACGTGTGGTGAAAACAGTACACAAATAAATGTTTAGACCCGCAAGGTACACCTGTTAGCATACAAAGGGCCGCATATGGATGTTGAATATAAACGTATGTTTATTTGATTTATAAACGTTTTAGTTGCTTTATTACGTACTTGTACCCTACATAATTTTTTAACGCTACATATCAAGAAAAACGAAGTCTGCGTTCCGTTTTGCTGGTTTATTTAATATTCCGTTGTTATTTATTCTAATTTATAATTGCCATTGGTAAATACATCCCATTCTGTTTTGTTTTTAGGTATACCTTTCCCACATTTTTTTCTGTAACAAATATGTATTTATTTATTTATTTTTCAAAAAATACTTAAAGGGGATCTCGGGTGAACCGGGAAACGGGAGATGATACATAGATGATGCTTTCCCAATGCCCATATGTAGGGGCATATCGCATACGGGCGCATACCGCATAGACGCATACTGCGATAGTCAATATGTTCTAAATAAACCCTGTAGTATTTACATAAATAATCCTAACTTAAAATACAGAGTCCTAAATATGTAATAACTGGTCCACCATATGTACAACAAATATAAAATTAACTCTCAAGTCTCAAATCTCAAGTCTCAAGTCTGAAGTCTCAACTCTCAAGTCTCAGCACTCTCACAAGTCTGAAGTCTCAACCCTCAGGTCTTAGGGCTCAGGCCTCAAACGGAAACCTGAAACCTGAAACCTGGGGTGGCTGATGGGAGTGGTGGCGCAATTCAGAAAACTATGCTTGATTTTCATTGCTCATATGTGTAAAGATTGTTTATCTGTTTAAATCTGGTGCTTTGGAGCTCCATATTTTAGAAAATGCGCCCAGCCTGGCCAGCCACCAACCACCGTAAGTCTATATCAATATCCAGAAGCAAAGAGTTTAAATTTCTGCAAATCGCTATCGATCAGATCTGAGATTTGCACTCTCTAAGAATATCTCAAAAATTGGTTTACAAATATATATCTATAAATATTATCTAGAATCTCCTATTGAGCTCTTCACTGTTCAGCTTGCCGCCTGAGGGACAAACAGTCAAACACTGTGACTGAGGGCCCGAGCCCCGAGGGAGGGGCGTTTTCAGTTTTGGGTATGTATTATTTCTATACAATGGGGTATGATTTTTTTTATTACTACGTCTCTTTCCTTACATCGCCCTTTTTCCGGCAGAAAGTCTAACTGAGCACAATAACTACCGGTCGCCGTAGATTATTAGTTGCATGAAAATACTTATCAAATATCGAATACTACCTTTCCGACCAAACTGTGGGATCTGTATGTAACTTTTGGTGCATACATACAGGAAGATGGTCTCATTTCGTAGGTACTTTAACAATATCATGGAATAGTAGCAATATAATTTATTAGAAAAATTCTACTATGTATTTTACTTCTGGCAGAATGGAGAATCTTCAAGATCAGTACAGTACTTCTGACACTCGGTCTCGGGGTTCTCAAACTGACACTCTTCGGCATTCGCTTCGCTTGCACACCAGTAGCTGGGTCCCTGCGTACAAGAGTCAATACCTACCATTGGTGCATCACAGAAAGGCGAATCCTCCAGATCGCCACAGTACTTTTGACACTCTATGTCAGGGTTCTCAAGTTGACATTCTTCAGCATTCGCTTCGCTTACACACCAGTAGCTGGGTCCCTGTGTGCACGAGTCAGACCCTATTGGTGCCGAACAGAAAGGAGAGTCTACCAGATCGTCACAGTACTTTTGACATTCAGTTTCGGGATTTTCCAGCTTACACTCCTCGGCATTATCTGCACTGGCACACCAGTAGCTAGGTCCCCAAGTACATGGATCAGATCCAACCAGTGGTGGACAGAAGGGAGAATCGTCCAGGTCGTCGCAATATTCCTGACACTCCGACTCGGGATTGCTAAAACCACACTCACTTGCGTTCTCCTCACTGGCACACCAGTAGCTGGGTCCCCAAGTACATGGATCTGCCCCAATGAGTGGAGACTCTTCCGGCTGTGGTTCAAGGATGTCGTCGGTACAGTATGGGCTGGTGTCAATATCCTCGCAATACTTCAAGCAATTCACTCCAGGATTTTCAAAGTTACATTCAGCTGCATTTGCTTCCGATGCGCACCAGTATGAAGGGCCCTGAGTACAGACATCACTTCCAGGTAAAGGAAGGGCCCTGAGTGCAAACATCACTTCCAGGTAAACTAGCGGCCAAGGATGGCGTCAGGATCGATATTGCGGATACGATAGCGGTGAAGTTAGACTGCATTTTGCTATTTTACTTTGAATGTAGTAGTTATGGTACTGTTTACACAATCTGTATCCAATTTATACGCTTCATACGGCAGTGCCGAGGAACCTCAGTCCATGTTCTACAAATTTTGAATGTATGTAAACTCATAGCCTTCTAAATTGAACAGTAAACTGTGTTTGCCATATCAAACTGCAAATAGGTGTATATGTTATTTTTAGGGAAATCCAATAAAAATAAAACACGGCTGGGGCACCGCAGAGACCAAAAGCGTTTCTTAAAAGAGGGTTAATAACTTGTGAATATATCCTCACAGGGTGAGCTGAGGCCTGAGGGTGAGATTTCTTGATGGACCCTTTCTCACTCACTTTCACTCAACACACACTCACAAATAAATTCGCACTTTTGTTCAGTCACACTCGCTCACACGTAAACACACTCACCCACCGGGCCACCGGGGCTTTTTTTATGAAACAACTTTTCTTTTCAGCCGTCAATAACGGGACCCGAAAAAGTATACTCTATTTTTTGAAACAAAATTCCGTTTAGGATCCCTCGGGAACCTCTTGGGGCCTACAAATGGGGAAAAAGTGCTCCGGACAGAAAAGCGTTCCGGACAGATTTCAAGTTCAATAAAAGAAATAGGGACTCTACAGCTACGCTTTCGGTGAAAATTTGAATATGTACAACCGAACTGAGAACGGCAAGCTGAATAAGTGCAGAGCTCAATTGTATGGGGGGTTTTAGATAGTAATTATAGAAATAAATCTGTACACAATTTTCAAATTCTTGGAGTGCAAATTGAAAATTGTCTCAGATCTATTCGAGAGTGATTTGTACAATTTAAACTTTTGCTCCTGGATATATAACATAGTCTTGTAGACTTACGGTGGCTGGTGCAGTGGTGGACTGGTGGCTGGGTACATTTTCTAAAATAAGGAGCACCAAAGCACCAGATTTGAGATTTAACAAATAAACAATCTTTACACTTATGAGCAATGAAAATCAAGCATAGAGTTTTCTGTGTTGCGCCACCTGCAGGCAATGCTAGGCATCCACCAGGGTTGAGCCTTTGAGGAATGTCTTTATACGGCACTGGTGACAATAAAATTATTAACCACTTCAGGCCCAGTTTCCTACCAGTCTCATACCTATACTTTTTTGAGTTTACTTTGCTTTTTTCTATTTAAATGTATTTAGCGTGATTTTAACCCATTTATTGCACTTGTTGTATTAGTTCTTTGTCGGCCTCAGAGGAGAGGTCGACGTATGTTAGACACGAATAGTGTCAACCGTGAAACCATGGGCGAATCCGAAGCAATAGCTAAGACGGAGGACGCTTATTTACACGTGTCTAACTGCTAACATATGTCCAGCCCTTAAGACCGACAAGGACCTAACATAAGTGCATTTGAGACTGTTATATTTGTTTATTTAAAAAATACAGATATATTTTAGCCCTTAAATTAAACAGGTAAATATGTATATATAGCTATGTATTATTTTAAAAAAATATGAAATATTAGCACAGTTTAAAGGACTAAAAAAAAAAGGACTATGTACATAAATATGTAAATACTTATTTACTTTCTATCAGTCTTTCTCTTCGACTGAGCTTTTAGTTTGTTTAGGTTTTTTGTAGTATTGACTATCGATGCCTCGACGAGTCAACGGGTCTTGGCCTCTTGAGTTTTGGGGCGTCATCTATGTATCATATTCATCTATTTATGATCGCGACTTTCTCTCTCCCGGAATCCGAGATCCCAATGTATTGTTTTTTCTTTGTTTGTTTTTAGAAGGCTATGGTTCGGCGTTAAATATTTATATATAAAAATACATATTTACAGACCCGCGGCAATTAAAGGGAATAAGAAAAAACCCCCAAAAAACCAAAAACTGGTACCAAACGGCCAGCAAACCGATCGATTTGTTTTATATATATAAATTATGAAGATTGTAGGGTACAAAACGGATAAAATTCTATTTTTTTTCTACAACAAAATAGAAAACAAAAACCCCTAAAGTGATTTTCCGTTTACAATTTAATACGGGGGTCGGTAACTCGGTATTGTGTTCCTTTTTCGAAATATAGCTACAGAACAAGGAGTACTCTTTATGTAGATAGGTACTCTTTATATAGATGCCTTCTGGCTCCTGGCTTCTGTCTGTTCTTGACTCTTTCTCTAGAGTGTCTATCACTCTATCTATCTGTCTACTACTCTCTCTTGTGTTAAATATCGATTTTAACAGAAACGTCGAACCCTATCGATAAATATCGAGCATGCCTTCTGTACAACCGCGACAGCCGACAACTATCAATCTGATGTACTGTATTCAACAATTCCGTACTATAAAACCTTATCCAACCACACATTGTATCAGCATCATCGAGAATCAAACAAAGCAAACACTATAACCACCAACATGAATAGCAAAATCGTCTATATCGTATCCGCAGTGTCAATCATGACGACGGCCTTGGCCGCTAGTTTACCTGGAAGTAATGTTTGCACTCAGGGCCCTTCATATTGGTGCGCATCGGAAGCAAATGCAGCTGAATGTAACTTTGAAGATCCTGGAGTGAATTGCTTGAAGTATTGCGAAGATACTGACAACAGCCCATACTGTACCGACGACATGCTCGAACCACAGCCGGAAGAGTCTCCACTCATTGGGGCAGATCCATGTACTTGGGGACCCAGCTACTGGTGTAGCAGTGAAGAGAACGCAAGTGAGTGTGGTTTTAATAATCCCGAGTCGGAGTGCCAGAAATATTGCGCCGACCTGGACGATTCTCCCTTCTGTCCACCAATGGATGGATCTGATCCATGTACTTGGGGACCTAGCTACTGGTGTGCCAGTGCAGATAATGCCGAGGAGTGTAAGCTGGAAAATCCCGAAACTGAGTGTCAAAAGTACTGTGACGATCTGGTAGACTCTCCTTTCTGTTCGGCACCAATAGGGTCTGACTTGTGCAAACAGGGACCCAGCTACTGGTGTACAAGCGATGCGAAGGCCGAAGAGTGTCAGCTTGAGAACCTTGACATAGAGTGTCAAAAGTACTGTGACGACCTGGTAGACTCACCTTTCTGTTCGGCACCAATAGGGTCTGACTCGTGCACACAGGGACCCAGCTACTGGTGTGCAAGCGAAGCGAATGCTGAACAGTGTCAATTTGAGAACCCTGACATAGAGTGTCAAAAGCACTGTGGCGATCTGGAGGATTCGCCTTTCTGCGATGCACCACTGGTAAGTACCGACTCTTGTACGCAGGGACCCAGTTACTGGTGTGCAAGCGAAGCGAATGCTGAAGAGTGTCAGTTTGAGAACCCTGAGACCGAGTGTCAGAAGTACTGTACTGATCTTGAAGATTATTCATTTTGTCAGGAGTAAGCGATTGACAAGAGTAGCTTCAGACGGTCAAAGTTGTCTTCAAAATTATCTTCGTTTGTAAAATTCGCAGTCATAACGTCCTCGCGATCTCTGTTCGATTTAGAAGGCTAAGCGATTCCTTTATACGTATGGACTACTGATCCTCTTTACTTCAAATAAGCTCAACAAGCTAGCACTCCAAAGAAGACATCTTTACTTTTCATGAAGAAGTCATCTTTTTGTTTCATACAATATCGTTTTCCTTGTCTTCGATTGATGAGCTTGATCATTATTACACCTGACGAAAAATCTACATTCGGAGGCATTAAACAGCTTTTCATTCGATCAAAACGATTTGGCGGTTGGAAACGCCGTAGGAGATGTACTAAATAAGGCTTCAAAATATCATTTAAATATATTTTGTTCTAATTTAGGAGGCTATGTTTAATAGCAATCACAAACTTAGTAGAGAGAGTGGTTGCATGAAACAAGATACATCTCTTCAACTACAAACGATGCTCTACTTGAACCAGAACTTTACGAAATGCCTGTCTCTTGGTAAACGTCTGGGATACACTCAAATATCACTCACGCTACAACATCGGGTAATGGCTGGTATTGCTTCCTCTGCCACTGGCAGACAAAAACGTATGTGGTTTGGAAGTGTAGTAATTTATGATCATATACATACATATATATATATATATATGTGTGTGTATGTATGTATGTATGTATGTATATATGTATGTATGTATGTAGGTATGTAATTATGTATAGGTAGGTAGGTACGTATTCATGCATGCATGTATGTATGTATATATATATATATATATATGTGTGTGTGTGTGTGTGTGTGTGTGTGTTTGAGTGTGTGTTTATGTATACTTGTATGTATATATGTATATGTATGTATGTATGTATGTATATTCGTATATGAATAAAAATATATTTATTCA